TGGATCGATCAAACATTGTGGGATCTTTGGATAAGAACAAAAGAGCTTGGATTCATCTTGAGGTGCTGAGATCGATCAATGTCAGATTGATCGAAGAAATTCTGTGATTGATTAAACTTGCTGAACTTCCACCACTTTACTTCATTTAGTTTCCACTTTGCTCCTTTCTTTCATTTATCTCAGGATTGCTTCAATTATGCTCTTATTTGACTGGTTTAGCTTATTTTGGGGATAAGTGCCTGAAAACATAAATAATGCAAAATTAGTCTAAGGCTGGAAAATAAGATAGATAAAGGTCTTAGAATACCTAAGCTTAACGGGTTTAAATGCGCATTTTTCAACGCTCATCAATTGTGATGAAAAATCTTTAAGATCAATTACTGGAACACCCATGTCCATTCTTTTTGGGTTTTGATTATTTGTTGTGGAAATTGGGATAATAACATATTTTTATATCTTTGGCAGATTAATTAATTGAACAATCGCTTAAGATTTTGCTGGCTTGTCTTCTTTTTGGATGGATGTGTATCGTCATCAAAATTGTCTTCACGGCGAGGCGGTAGTTTTTTTTTTTTGGAACTCGAGGTATCCGGGCTTTCGCCTTGACTAATCCCCGGGGACCCGTGCAAGGCGACCCCCCCCCCCACACGGACCGGGTTAAACTCAGAATTTGTCTGCGGTTGTGGCCCCAAAGAATTGCTCGCACCTAAAGGGAATCAAACTTAAGACCTGAAGCTTAATGAGGCTCCAAGTCCCAAGCCTCTTCCACTAGGCCAACCCTTTGGGGTTGGAGAGGCGGTAGTTGACAGAGACAACAACGGCGGGACCTTGCGGCAGCAGATGGCATCATGGACCTTGGTTTCGGCACTAAGGTAGGTGAATCTGCCATAGTGGAAGAAGACCATGACGGGAAGTGTGATACCCCTCGATTCTAGAGCCACGGGTGATCAAGTTTGAGCACAGATCCGAGGGATACCAACCAATTAATATTTAACTGAACACAGAATACAAAATGAATTTAATAAATAAAAGTTTAAAAGCTGAAAAGAATACTAAACATAATCCTTGAAATTAAAATACTTGAAATCCAATTATCCAAAATCTTCTTAGAAAGAATCCTTCAATGACTTTATAACTCGGGAATCCATCTCTAGTGGACCCCAAAAAACAATCCCAAATTGAAGGTAATTAAATAACTGAAGATAAAATCCAAATATAACATAAAGAAATAAAGTCCTACATCATCGATAGAATGGAAGGTCGTCTCTGCTCAGCCCGAACAATCCCTAGACTGGAAACGCCCGTCACCTGAAAAATGATAAGTGGGTTAGGCCCACTAGCAAGTTATATACTACTACAACTACCCAAGTAGAGACCTGATATGCATATACATCCTAATCAATCCAATAATAACTAATAGTCCGTATATATATATATATATATATATATATATATATATATATATATATATATATATATATATATAATCACACTACAGGACTCTCACTGGACTACAGGCCCGTCTCAACCTGACTAGTAGGCACCATGCAAAACGCACCCGAGGTGGGCATAACTACCTAGACCTAGCAGGGTACACATCCAAGCATCATAGCCAGCTATGCATCTCAATGCATATACGCTCCCTAGCCAACGACTCTGAGACTCAAGCTCATATCGTGGCACCATAAAAATATATTTAAATTCCGTTTCAAACCAAAGTGTCACTCAACTATTTAGTGATCTGACACAAAACACAAGTAGGACTTAACTTCTGTAGTTAATCCATCCCTTAATCCAGAGTAGGTAGGACTTAGCGTTCTTTTGAGGTAATCCCCCTAGTATGTCACCGTCCCATACTGGTGCATACAAACCATCCATTCAGTATTAATAATATATATATAACAGCATAATATATCAATATCAACATATCCAATCATAAGCATAACAAGAATGTTTAACTAGCATGCTTATTCAATACATCCAGTACCTGATTCTCTAACAAGTTTTAAATGCAGAGAATAAATATAACCATCCTGTAACTCACAACAAGCATAATAATAATAACAGAATTAACATGCTTAATGTTACCTACTCCACAACATCCAATAAGTTGATATAAAGAACTCTTTGTAAACATCAACTAATTTCTGATTATATGATAACAGAATTTATATAAACTGACATGTTTAAACTCATACCATTGTTACATGATTTAAACATAAAACCCCTAATTCAATTGCTAATTTAGAATCAAACAACTTGAATCATCTGCAAAATTCCAACCATGTAAACTTCCTTAAAAGTGACTTACTGTCACTTATTCCGATTATAATCATTCTGTAATCTAATATGCTTAATTTAAATTATAGAAACATGATTAAACAATATTCCCATTCCCAGATAAAATTGCAACTCATAGGGTTATGCACTTAAAATCCTCTGCCTCCAAAACAGTCCACAAGTTCACTTGAAACTATAACGGTTTAAAACTACCGATTTCTTTGTAATTTATTATGTATTATCACACCCTTAGAATTTTTAATAGGACTTAGATGCTACTGGAACATCCCTGCATAGCTTCTAATAGCATCTGGAAACACCAAATTCTGAAACCTGTAGCCAAAACCATCACTGAAAAGGCGAAAAACTGAAAACCGTTGAAGGAGCCGCCTCCAACCAAGTTGGAGCCGCCTCCAAAATGATGGAGCCGGCTCCAAACATTGTTGGAGCCGCCTCCAACCTTCTTTGAGCTGGCTCGATGTTTCCATGGAGCCGCCTCTTCTTCCCCCTCTCTCTCTGATTGCTTGTTTTGTCTCCGGTGAGCTCCATTATTTCCGTTCCTCGCTGTTACAGCCTCTAACGCTTTTAATTATGCTTTGACTGATTAAACTAAATCCTAGGGTGATCCAGAGTTAATTAAATTCATTACTTATCAACCAAAGTCAATTGGAATAAGAATTTAGCAAAAACAGTTTCCGCAAGCCAAAACCAAAACCATAAATACATACTGTATAGATTTTGTTTAATCCTTCAAACCAACTTTTTTTTAGTTAAAACTAAATCCCAAGGTGCTCCAAAGTAATTTAAATTCATTAGTCATTAATTAAATTCGATTGGAACAAGAATTACGCATGACAGAATAACAAAAAGCAAAGATAGTTTAAAAACAATTAACATTCACATAGAGAAAGACATACTGCTTTGAAGTAAATAACAGGGCAACCAGATTCATTTATATTAATCTCTTCCTGGGACTATATTAGGAATGCAAAGAACACATGCCAAAGAGATAGAGTTAGTATAAAACTTGCCTGTGAGATTCGGTTCAAAAATCTCAACGTCTTCTCCTAAGCTTTTCCGGTGATCCTTTGGTTTTCCCTCTCTGTTCTCTCCCAGACTCCTCTATGCTTCTCTCTGTTCTCTTTATGTCGTGAATAGGGTTCTAAAACCCTAAACCGAACATAAGACATATATTTATAGGTTTACACCAAAACCCTAGTTTAACTAAACCCTAAACTGAAAACTCGGCCCATGGAAAACCTAGTTAATGTTTAGTTATGTCGGCTACCTACAAGACCTCTAAAAACCTAATTCAATAAAACACATCTAACGAAAAATATAATTAAGTCAAATAAAATAAAATAAAACCAATTAAACAACAATTAAATAAATATATGCAATTAAATAAATAAATCAAATCACCAAATTCTCAATTAAATTAAGTAAATTGCAATTAAATAATTAAATAAATACCAAGACTATCTTTTTAAAATTAGGGGTATTACAAGAAGGAGATCCTCGGATGTGAATTGGGAATGATGATGGTACGAGGAGGAGAAAGAAGAGGAAGTTGTATGATAAGGGTAGTTTGGTCAGAAAAATAGTCAATGGGAGGTCAAAGGGTAACATAGTCATTTAACACTTTATAAGTATTATGGCCCATCAAAAATTGACATTTGGGGTGTAAGTGAAATGTTAAACCACTAATTCAAATATAAGTGAAATCCAAAACCAAAATCTTCATCTAGCTGTAAAATGATATAACCTCGAGTGAATTTATCTAGGGTTGCAAATTGGGTAGTCCCAACCTCAACCCCAATCGGGTGGGTTGGGCCAATCCAAATTGTACCCAACATGGGTTATGGTCAAAACCCAGCCCGAATATTTTCGGACCGGTCGGGTCGGGTTGCATTTTTTTCTTTAAATAATTTTTTTTCCTCGAAATTATATATATATATATATTATATTTGATTATATTATTATTAAAAAAACAAAAAAAATTAAGGCAAATCATTTCAGCCTCTCCAATCGCTTCCAAGTCTCATTCCCAACTCTCTCTATTTGTGCAATTGCAAACTACAAAATCTACAAGAATCAAAAGTTCAAAACCCATAAATTTCAGATGTCTACAAGAATCAAAAGTTCAAAACCCATATCGGCATATCATTTCAGATTGTTCAAAAAATCAAAACCCATATCTTTCAGTTTCCATCGCCCGCTGTTCCAGTTTGGGTTCGTCGTTCACAAGCTTCAGTTGCCGTCTCTCAACTCTCAAGCTTGCCCCCCCTCTTTGCAACTGCTAACTTGTATGTATGGGTTTTGTTTTAATTTTTGGAAGTGACGGCGATGGTGGCGGCGGATCAGTGGCTGAGGGTGAAGGACGAAGGTGGCGGCGGTGGATCAGCGGCATAAGGGCGGCAGTGGGGACGGCCGCAGAGAGAGAGATAAAGACAAAAAGGGAGAGAAAGGAGAATTTTTTATTTTTTATTTTAATTTTGGGTTTCGGGTTGGGTTCGGATTGAGCCCGAGACTAACCCGAATATGTCTGGATTTTGACAAAATCTAATCCGAATATAAGCCCGATTTGTGAATTATATGTGAAAAAATTTCAAAATTTTTGAGTTGGGGTTAGGCCGCCCAAGTTGCAGCCTAAATTTATCCATTTTTTTTTTTTTTTTTTTTTTAAGAGTGGGAAGTACTTAAAAGGATTCACGAGGCAGGAGTAATGGCACCAAAACCCTAAAACGCCTCTAACCCTAAAACGCCTCTACCCGCCGCATAGAGCTCTCTTCTGCTTTCATAGCTCCGTTCCAGCTCCGACGGAGTAGGAAGGTAATTAAAGATGAAGGATGAGGAAGTATCATTGTTTTTGGTTACGAGCTTTGTTGGTGGGCCATATTGTGCTGCAATTTATGAAATCAAATTTGGAGGAGGAGGAGGAGGAGGAGGAGGAGGATCTAAAATTCCAAGAGTTAGTCCTCTGCTCAAAGCGTTTAAAAGCTGCTTAAAAGAAGATAGACCATATTCACCGGTTGGTTGTGATATCTCAGGATCGCACATGTGCTTGATGTCTTCATATTGGCTCATTAAGGAGCAGGATTATAAACAGTATCGACCCCTTCTTTTTGATACAATTAGCAAAAAGGTTTCTGATTTGCATTGGATAAATGCATCAAAACCTTTTCCCAAGGTGATGGCTGTCCGTGGAAGTTTTTTTGTGCTTGCTGGAGGTACCAGGGATTCTCCACGCGTCCAAATCAAGCCTCCTAGTTTCGAACAGTTGGGGGATGAAGGGTGGAGTTCTTCTTCCCTACCTGAGATTCGCTTCCAGGGAAGATCACGCAAGATTGTCTCCGGTTATGCCATCATCGAGGACTGTATTCTCATTTCAGTTTCTGTTTTCAAGAGTTCCAAAAATAAATTCTATTGTTACAAAGTCGGGAGTTCAATGAAGGAGTGGCAGGCCGTCAACAAGGCAGGCAGGAGAAAGACATACAACGCCTTCAGGGGAAAGGCTGAATATGTCGAGGATTGCATATACGCTTTCGGATTTAAGAATAAATTTTTTGCGTATCCTGTCATATTTTCTGGTAAAGGTAATCGTGTCATTAAATCTCTTGGTGTTCCCAAGGAAATTACCGGACTGGACTTTGAAACTCTACCATTGGATTATCGCTCATTTTCTAAGAATTGCTTAGTTCATTTGGGAGGGAGAATATTTTGTATGATGAAGACTGCTCTCCATGTCCAGCCCTTCAACTTTCAATGTGTTTCCATCTTGATCGTCAAAGTTTCTCCTGAGATGAAGCTTTCAAAGTTGTATTCAGCTCTCTGTGACTTGAATATAGAGAACCTCGGTCAGGCAAAATTAACATCACTTTGTTTGGACTCCCAGTAAGTATTTCTATTTTCTTTGTTGCTGTTATTGTTGTTGTTGTTTATCCTTTCCTTATTTTTACGGCTTCAAAGTTTTTCAACACTACAAAAATTGGTCAAAAGACGTATATGAAAGAGACACGAGTATTCTCAGAAATGAAATCATTAGGCAATCTACAATCTATTTTTAAAAGATATATTTATATTATCAATTTGCATGATTTGCCGAGAGGAACCTAAATTTATATTATCTAGTTATCAAGGGAAATGTCCTACATTCATTTTATGTTTTTTTGTAATGCAAAATAAGAAACAGGGAAAGTAGCGTTGCTATATGTCTTTACATAAGTATATATGGTTGTTGAGGGATATGAAGATGAAATAAAAACATGAATAAAGTTCAAGAATTATTAAAAGATATGAAGCTGGAAACCTGTAATACGTTTTCTCCCATGAATCCTTATTAGGCTGTGTTTTTTCGTTAGATATTTTTCATTCAAAGAAATTTAATTTTAGCAGCAAATTGCCAAATATTGATGTTGTGGCCCGAATACTGTTTCGGCAAAAGTGAGCTTTTTGTGGGCCCAAAATTTTTGACCTGTATTTTTTTGCTTCTTGTTGTGGACCCTATAAGTTTATAAGCGCATTTAAGGTTTTGAGTGGGATGGAGTGAGACACTGGAAATCACACGAAAGAGATTGAGGGTAGGGTTGTAAATGAACCAAATGTTCGACGAACAACTCGAGCTCGGCTCGCTAAGAGCCCGGCTCATACTCGTTTAGTTAGTAAACAAACCAATCTCAAACAGTTTTTCCAAGATCGATTCGTAAATGAACCAATCTCAAACAGTTTTTCCAAGATCGATTCGTAAATGAACCAATCTCAAACAACTATGAGTTCGACTCGTTTGTTCATGAACGTGTTCGGAACTAATCTCGTCGAACGACTTGTTTTGAGCTTGATTATATATATATATATATATATATATATATATATATATATATATATAAACTATGTTTTAAGAAAGCTAATTAACCATTAAGCCTTATAAATAGTCTAACCCTAGCGGGCCTAGCCCAACCCAACCCAAACCAACATACCTTATATAGTTTTTGTTTCTTTAAATTAAGTGACCCATAACCTAAGCCCATCTCTTACTCAGCCCACTCTAAACCCTATTTGGCTAATTCTATACGTTTGCTTTCTAAACTCGCATGCAATCCTAGTCACAGATATGGAATATTTCCTATTAACCGTTCTCTTTGTCTCACACACGACGCCGTAGAGATGGAACTGCAAATGGGGTTTGCCAAATGCCAACATTAAGGCTACTCGTCTTCCTTGCGGTAAGTATTTGGCTAGGAGTAATAAACTTGTAAGTCCATGTACTACACCATAAGAGTACCACAAAAATGAAATTCTGTAGAAGTTGATAGGCATCGATGTCATCTACGCAGGTGAAAAGTGTAAATAAGTGGATTGAGTCTTCTACTCAGGCCAGTCATCGGAGTCATCCACTTCGGTGAAATCCTCTACTCTCCTTTCTCTTCTTTTGTATCTTCCCTCTTCTAGTTCTCTTGGTGTTGGTTTTCTTTTCAGGTGTGAATGATAAGGGCTCAATTTACCCTGGTCGCGAGGGTGTACACACAAATTTTGTGTATGCAAATTAAAGAACGAAATATGGAGCAAATATTAATATTATTGATTTATGAATATGAGGAGTACAATCCTTTGAGGTATTCTTTACAAAAGAAAAGAGAATATCCTCTGATTCGATTTTCTTTGTTGGCTGAATACATGGGCTGTTGAAGCTTGATCTTGAGTCGATTTGTTGACAGTATTCTCAACATATTTGTAGTTGAGGAAGACACCCGATGATTTCTGATCGAGGCCTGAAAAAGCTTAATCTCGAACAATATTGTTAGATGATTCTTCAAACTTGTTGAATCACATAGAAAGAACGGCACGACTCTGGATGTGCTTGTTGTTCTTCGTTTTCAAAGAGTTTGTTGAATTTGAGGAAGAACGACAAAATTTTGGATGTGCTTGTTGTTCTTCGTCTTTATAGAATTTATTGAATTTGAGAAAGAACGGCACGACTTTGGTTGTGCTTATTGTTCTTCTTCTTCAAGGCTTGGGTGTTGAGAGAATGTTGAGTTTGGCAGAGATTTTGTATTTTCTCTGAGTCTTCTTTGTCCGAGTCTTGATTTCTGGATGTCCTTCTCTCTCCCTCCCTCCCTCCATGCCTCTATTTATAGACTTCGTGGATGAATAGGATGATGACATGTTCCTTTTATTGATAAACACATAATCATGATAATATGTATTTTTTTATATTATTATATTGTGATAATTATCTCCAAATATATTTATTGGGAATAATAATATTTTTATTTAACTAAATGGGCCAGCCTGCTAGTTAAATAATTTAAATTGATCAAGTTTGGGTTAATTGAACAATTTAAATAAACATTTGACCCATATTTGATGTGCCAATTTGTTAAGGAAAAAGCCCACTAAATTTTAATATCTACAGAGTGATCTAGCCATCGCTCGTTTGTTGAGGTGGTGACGATCCCAAATCTTTCAAATCATGGAGTTGTGGAGACGGTGTTGTCAAAAAAGGGGTGTTGATTTCTTTCTTGATGATTAAAGTATCTGGAAAAGAAGAGATGTTATTCAAAGCTATCTAGTGGGGAGATTTGACCGAGATGTTGGGGATTCTGCTTGAATGGAGGACTAGGCATCAAGGGCTTGAAAGGTTTCTGCTAGTGTGTCGGTCTCCCCGTTGCCGGATTCTTTACTTGCTGTTCAGATTGCCTTCTCATGCTGAAGCGATTTGGGTTTTGAGGGAAGGTAAACGGACTTGGGGAGAAGCCGAATTACGACTGGATCAGTCTTTATTACCTCTTTATGTTTTTGGGGTTCGGGTAGGCATTGTTCCTCCGGGAGGAGACGATTGATTTTATTTCTTCCTTGGGACCATAGGATCCCCGTGTTCCTTTTTGTTGCTTCCGGGACGCGTTCCCATTTTGAACGTTTTTTTGAATGAATTTTCTTAATTAGGAAAAAAAAAAGAAAAAGAATTACGACTGGATGTGTTGTCTTTTCGCGTTGGGTGTTGTGGAATTCTTAAGGAAAAGGAGAAGAGAGTGATGATGGTGTTTGTTTTCCTTATTGCATTTGTGGTCTTATGCCTTATTTGAAGCAATCGGCAGGGGGGGGGGGGGGGGGGGGTGGGGTGAAGCAGACGAAAGGAAGGATGCGAGCAAGGTTATTATCTATGTCGACGATGATGGCGTTGTCCTAGAGTGGATTCTGGTGAACGACGAACGACTGTTACAGGGTGTATCTGGCGGTTGAGAGCACTGTTCTCTCAGAAGAGGAATATGGTTAAGGTTGCGGAGAAGACGTGGTAAGGGGTTTCTGGCATTGGAGTTACAGGATATTTTAGGGTAGAAGACTATGGAGTGGTCAACACGCGCGGCCATCGCGTAGATCTAGTGGAAAAGGAGAGGGGACACGTGGTTGGCATGCAACGGCCCAGTGGGTTCCTATTCAGATAAGTTTAAGGGATAAAAGTTCTTTGAGTTTGAATTTCAAAGAGAGGGCACATGATTACTTATGCAAAGGGCGAGGGTGGTTCTCTCTCTTGGGCTGGGCCTCGTGGGCGTAGTTTAGGCTCAATATTTCATAAGCCCATTGAGGAGGGGGGGAGCTTGTTTGGGCCACATGCCTTCCGGACCTCTTTTGGACATGTGAAGAAGAATTTCCATTGCACTTTGGTCCAGGAGGCTTATGGCCGAGACTTAATGTTTATTCTGGCATTTCAGGGCAGAAGGGAGGCACAAAGCCCAGCCTGCCCACACTCAAAGGAGGCCTAATGTTTATTCTAATGGTTCTGGGCAGTCCAACGGGCCTTTAAAGGATCGATTGTCTAGGCCTGGTCTTTGTAACTCTTTTGGGTGTTTGCAAGATGGGCCTATTTTAGGAGGTGATGATGTCGGCTCAATTGGAAGATTCAAGTTGTTGCCTCATTCGAGTCAGAGAAGTAAGGTCGACGGTGCAGGCATCTCTGATACTCTGAATCATAGATCGAGCCACTCTCAGTTCCGATCGGAAGGGCGAAGATGGTCCCGGAAGCAGAAACAAAAGTGGGTAAAGTCCACTAATATGTTCCATAAACTGGGTATGTGCTCTGATCCTTCTCCAAAGCTCTCTTTTATCTCTTCTCCTTCTCATTCTACTCCTTGTGGGGTGTTTGAGGAGGGATGATGGAAAGGTGGAAGGTGGTTTGATCATGGGGTTCAAAGGCTATCCCAAGTTGCGGAAGTGAGCTCTAAAGGCAGGTTTGAGGATGATGGCGGCCGGGCGTATGTTTCCTTGGATTTCACAGGGATGGCTTCATGTTATGACTTGGGGTCTGTTTGGCTGGCTTCTAGTAGTCTCAAAACAGGCTTCTAAGTCCAGAAAGTTCTTCGCCAATAATAAAGAGCGTTTGGTGAAATTTCTGAAAACGGACTTTAGAAAAGTCCCAGTGGTTTAAAATCCCAATTGACCAAAGCCAATAAAACATGCTTTCTGATCGACTTCCAGCAAGCTACACACTTTTTTAAGTAATAAATATAAAATTCCTATATTGTCCATTATTTTACCTATTTCTATTTCTATTTCTATTTATGAATTCCATTGCAAACTTTTCTCTCTCTGTATCATCTTCTTCGTTCGTTCTCTACAATAAAAAAGGATTAATGATAGGGGAACCGAATAGCTAACCCCGAATTTTCACCGAATCTGACGTGGCCAAGCCACGTCAGCTTCATTAACATCACTAACGCGTGAGAATTCAACGCTTTCTCTCACCTCGCGTGGGTTTGTCTTCAACCTCACAAACTGTATCAGAATGGTTGGGTGAGTTTTGATCTTCAAACTCACAAATTGGATCAGATCCCAAGGTTCAATTGTAGTACTCAACGGCAACGATCCCTAATGAGGAGGCAGCTTGGTCTTCTATTGGA